TATATATATATATATATATATATATATATATAATATATCTATACATATTAATATATACATATAGCATACCAAGCACAGTTAAGATGGGTATCACCCCATCCTCAGCCAAACTTGCGAACACCTTCGGCGCGGTGGAGAGTAGTTGGATGGCTGCCCCTATACCCACTGTCAACAGACCACTGATGATGAGAAACAATCGGATTGTGTGAGTGTGTCAGCTACGACAGACGACAATCATCTCTTATCATATCACTACAGCATTACATACTATAGCACTACACAAATTGACCGATGGTTATATATATATATATATATATATATGCATATACATAACACCGATTGACCAATAATTCCATTTATATATATATATACATAATACCAATTGACCAATGTTTACATATATACGAAACCCCTAAAACCTTATGCAACTACAACATCCCTCACCATATTGCTAGGTAGCGAGTGGGCCATGCGACGTAACAGAAGAGCAACAGAAAGTCTTTGAGCAGTTGACGCTCAGCCACCGCCGCCAGCAGACAGAAGATCATTATGTACAGACACGTAGACGTCAGAATGGCCGAAAACGCTCCTGCATTGGGGTGACGTTGTACATGTATATGGGTTATGTTTAGGTTTTATTTGGGTTATATTGGGGTGATGTTGTACATGTATTTGGGTTATGTTTAGGTTTTATTTGGGATACATTTGGGTGACGTTGTATATGTATATTTGGGTTATATTTAGTTGTCGTTGTACGTGAATTTGGGTAATAGTTGCGAGTTGGAAGTTGCAAGTATATATTGATATCGTAAATACAATATATATTTATGGAATATGAGACTTACTAACAAGTATGTATTGGTATCATAAACATTATATATATGTATGAGATATGGATTTCATAAACATCATATATATGTATGAATGTGGGATTTACAACCAAGTGTATACTTTAATGTAACACTGAATAAGCTTAGTGGACAGAAAATCAGTTAGTACAGACCCAGCCAGCATAAAATGACCGAAAATGCAACTTAATTTGGCAATTTGGGGTTAAATTCTGAAGTTGGAATCTCGAAATTTACATGTTGAGATACTACGATCACTCACATATATGCACGAGATATGGAATTTCCAACCGTACACAAACACATAGACACACACTCAGGCAGAAATTCTCGGCCCACTGGGAACATACACATTGACGAGCACCAATGCAACATCACACACACACACCCGCTTAACCACTCTTATAGCAATGAGTTTTAGAAAGTTTACTATATACACGCGCACACAAACTCTTATACATACCATTGCGATTTAGGGTTTTTAGCCCACACACACGCTTACACACTCGCACACACACCTTTAGGAATAGATGAAGATGGTGGTGTCACCACACACACACGCACATACACTCATACACTCCATTGGGTTTTAGGAATTTCACCCCACACCCGCACGCACACACACTCGCATACACACCTTTGGGATTTAGGGTTTTACCACACACATTCTTGCACACGCACCTTTGGGAATGGATGAGGAGGGTGTCCTCAGTCCGTTGGCATTGTTCGCTCCCATAAAGATACCCAAAAAACACGGGAACAGATAGGACAGAGCCGTTTGCCATACGAAACCTTCGCTGAAGTCTGGCATAAGGTTGTCACTCATGGTCTCACTGCTTAATCCGGTGACCATCCCTGGTTGATGATGGTAATGATAGTGGTGAGATCAAAAATCATAGTCACGTTCTTGTATATTATATATATATATATATATATATATCAATACCACTCAGATCAAGGCTATCTACAACAATTCTACCTACGTGAGAGCTACGGATAAGTGTGCCTTACCCAATGCAGTTTCGTTAAACCTTGGTACGTACACTGGCCCTGTCTGCCACCCATCAGAGGAAGCGAACAATCCGACAAACGATGACGCATAGGCCAACAGCACAACCTATGGAGAGTTAGGATTAACATATATGGTTCATTAGGCTCAGCCTTAGTGTCAGGACAGATGGGTATCTGATGGGGGACTCCAGTGCAATGTATTGGTATTGAGAAGATAGAGAGAGTGTAGCCTGGGCCTATGGAACGGAAATTTAGACGGACGCTTGGTGGTAAGTTTATAGGGGCAGACTGGTATGATACCAACCTCATTGTGCAAGCTAGAGACCCACCTAGCCTTTAAACTCTTAACCCTAGAACAACAAGTCTTGGCCCTCTGCTGATTTCTATGGGGTTTGGGTAAAGTCCTAAACCCTAAATGACCTCATAGCACTGGGTAGGGCACGGAACTAACGTTTATTAACACTTAGTTGAAGTCAAGACTTAACTAAAGTAAAATACAATTATATACAGCATTTCAACGTACGTCAACACCGAAACCCTAAACGCATTGATTCATGCACAAGTTAAGAAAGGAGACGTTTAAACACGCCTTCGTGAGAAACACACACCCCTAGAATAGCCAAGCCCACCCAGTTTTGGATCTTATCACCCGCAAACAATGTCACGGCAACTGACAGTAGTCCGATGATACCAAACATAATTTGGTCGCCATAGGCAGAGGGTAAGAGAGAGTCCCCGCTTTCAAAGTATATCACAGCTGTTATTCCCTCAGTGAAACCCTGTGAGGTGTGTGACGAGGTAGGGTTTAGGGTTTCAGAAATACGCATGTGGTTGTATCGCGATTTGTCGACTAGACTTGTTGGCAACTACCGGTCGTCTGGCAAACGTATCTAGGAATAATATACGTACTATGATGCAATGGCTTATGTATTCATCTACGTGCCATAAGTAGCACGCATACGCAACAGACGCATGCATGCATGTCTGGATGCAGATGACGAGATACACTGAAGTTTCCACAAAGATACGTAGAGCTTACTCAGCTGATCATGTGTTCTTATAAGTTTCACATACCTATCTATCACCATAAGTACACACAAACGTACACACACACATCTATACATATAAACCGCATACCCTCACAAACTGACGTAATGACGTGTATACAAAAAAAACACAAAAAAAACGCACCCACAAATCCCCTATTCCCACCCCGGCCCCAGGAATAGCAGGTCTATAACAACACATGCAGGACTGAAGGACTTCCCAACGACGCACAGATATACAGTGACTACACCCAATAGCTTACAATGATTTCGACCGTTGACATGATGGTTACGCCTAAGGCGTATATGACCGAGACGCTTCCGCCTATACTTGGACCTGCACGGCAATGAGTGAAGGAGGATCGTATAATATAGCAAGATGGTAAGCTCAAGGGTAGATGGAGATGTGGATTGAGATATAGATGTAGATGTCGGTGTAGATGTGGATATAGAAAATATATATGCATACATACATACATCTATATATATATATATATATATATATATGTGTGTGTGTGTGTGTGTGTGTGTGTGTATATATAATTAAACTAAATATGT